CTTAAGACTTCAAAGCGAGGAGGAACACTGTTAGAGATAGATGGGCACAACTCCAAAAAAATATATTGATGCCTATACTTAAATACTTAGTAATAATGCATATACGAAAAGACTTACATAAAAGGTATTGGAAGATATATAAAGATTCTATGCACTTTTCAAGACTCTGGGATGATTGAATAGAACTAAAGAAACAAAAGACTATGAAATTGTTGATATGCAGCCTTTCATACTTATCTCATTAATATTATTGAGACAAGAGCTGAGATTAGACTATGTTATAGACAGAGTGATGGATGAATATAATTGCAAAGAAGAAATATGAGACAGAGAAGAAAATGGGAAATTAGAGTTAGCTTTCAAAGACAATAAAAGTAACAAAGAGAAGCAGCCCAAGATAAGTGTCCTTGTGGAGAATAGGTAACAAAAAAGCAGTTATCTTCATCTGGGGAAGGCCGAAAGGTCAATGCAAATGTTAGAACTGTCCACAGAAAAAATCAGGGGTGGGATGAGCTGGCCCAATTCACAGTCTTAGAGTTGTTGTTTTAAGCTTATTTTGGATAATCCACCATATGAATACTACCCAATTCAGATGCAGAAGTTGCTTTAACAAATGATAAAGATTATTGTCAGAGAAATTAACTTTGTCATGTAAAGCAAGGATTTTGGGGCTGGTGAGAAAAGCTTATGAACTCTTAAAGCTGTATACTCCACCAAAGTACACATGTGAGACACTGGCACGGGGTTTCTGAATGTCCTGAATGCAATAGAACTATTAGATGAAATAGTTCCCAGATCCACGCTTCTCAAACTGTATTGGAAATATGAATCAGCTTGGGGTTTTTTCTTAAATGCAGATTCTGATTTACTACGTCTAAGAGCCCGAGATTCTGCATTTGTAAGAAGCTCTTAGGTGACACCCATACCCAGGTAATGCCTATATCCGGATGATAACACACTTTTTGTATCAAAGTAAACATGCACATTTTAAAAGGGAAAAGAAACATAAACAGCATGAAACATATACCAAATCATCATTAATTTTAGTTAGAGATTGAATTGTTCATTTAATAAAAAAAAAATAACTAAATATAATTCCAGACCTCCAGAATTTCACCATCTACTTGAAGACACATTACATTGTAGCTGTCCACATGACTGAGCACTACAATAGACATATGATTATGGTGCTCTGGAGCACAGAGACAGGGTGAGCCAGCAATATAGGGGAAGAAAAAAGAAATAGCACAGAGGCCAGGCAAATAGTTTAGTATTGCTTAAGTGCAGAATTTATTTAGAAGAGGCAAGAAGATGAGGTTGGAGAGGTAGATAGAGGCCACTAAAGTTCTGGTTCTCTATCCTAGAGGCATTTGAACATTATCTTATCAGCAATGTTAAGCCATTGAAGTGAACAAAGATGACATAATTGGATTTGTGCGTATAAACAGCCATTCTTACCTATGGGGTGTAGGGTACGAGCTATGAGTGTGGTTGGGCCCAGAGATGGGCAAAGTATTTTACTAGTCCCATCAAAAAATAAGAAGGTTTGAAGTAAATGAGTGGCCATCAAAATAAAGAGAGAGGTGAGACTAAGGAACATGTGTTTAAGCCAGCTGCTGGAGTACAAACCAAGGGTCCAAATGAAGTACTCCACAAAGAAACCTCCAAATAAAGAAAGGAGGTTGTTTCCATGCTTATTCTCCAGAAATCAAGTTAACAGAAGTTCATATATTTTACCTTAAGTCTATAATATAATGATCTGTTTCGAGCAAGAGGGTGATAATAACAGGAAAATACATAAAATGAACTAGAATTTTAACATAAAAGAGCTAGAAATATCACATGCTATCTTGGCATCTGAAATGAAGGGATGGAAAGAAGCCTCCATTTTTTTTCTGCAGTCTAAACCAAAAAAAGCTTTGTCCTAAATATGCAAAGTAGGTGAAAGCCTACTTAAGCACTAACTATGGCACTTGGAGAAATAGTGAAAGCCTGAATTAACCATCAAACAATGAACAATTTGGAGATGGATTTAGAAAAAAGTATTACTACATAACAGATGTTGCCCCAGGCTCCATTGATCTGAAAAGATATTTTTTAAAAAACTTAAGGTCATGGCAGCAAACAAAAACTGTTTTCTGTATCAGGCCCTTATTAACATCATCCCATGGAAGAGGCTCTTACCATTTGTGGATATGGGCCATGCAGCTTCATGTCCTGGCCTCTCCTGTTACTGGCTGCTTACCTCTCTGTTAATACTATCTCCCTCGGTATTAACTTGCAGTTACATTCATCCCTCCACTGGCATCCCAGTTACTCTCCCAGAAGTCAACCCTTCTTCCAATCGCTTTTAGACATTGCTGTTCTCCCTGCCATTCCTTTGAGACCCCAGAACAGACCTACTAGCCTCCACTAGGTAAAAGGTGGGCGGATTCCCTGCCTTCTAGCACATGCGGGCCTTTGCATACTCTTCTGACACAGGACTTTGCTCCCGTTTGCATAGTCTTCATTTGCTTCCCATCCTGACTCCCACAGAAGATTTGCCTCTACTTTTATCTATGTTTTCCTACCCTCTATTACCAGATTCAGTTCCGACTCCTACCTTGGAACCTTACCTGCATAGCAAAATCCCATCCAAACTCTTCTTATTAGAACTGATAGTGCTACTTTCGATTGAGAAAAGACTCAGTACTCAACTGAAATTATTTAAATGTATTGGAAAAGATAAATGCTATATATAAGAAATGAGTAATGTCAGGCTAAGTTTGCTGGGTATCGTACTTCAAATGCAAGCTGTATAAGCCATACGGCTACTAGAAGAAGCCCTAGTCCTAAGCACCTTACTCATTAAGAAGGAGGAACTACTTTATCAAAAGGCAATGATGATGGGACATGGTGGCTCACTCCTGTAATCCCAGCACATTGGGAGGCCAACGCAAAATGATTGCTTGGTCCCAGGAGTTTGAGACCAACCTGGACAACATAGTGAGACTTTGTCTCTACAAAAAATAAAAAATTAGCAGGGCATGATGGTGCATGCATGCCTGTAGTCCCAGCTACTTGGGATGTTGAGGGTGGGAAGAGTGCTTGAAACCAGGAGGTGGAGACAGCAGTGAGGCATGATTGCACCACTGCTCTATGGTCTGAGTGACAGAATGAGACCCTGTCTCATTTAAAAAAAAAAAAAAGTAAATGACGTCTTAACTGAAAAGTACGAAGTACATCTTTTCTTTCTGCCTTGGCTTTTGTGATACTAGGCTCTTACAGTTTTATTTCTGTGTGTTAGTTTTCTATTGCTGCCATAACAAATTATCACAAATTTAGAAGGCTAAACACCCAGTTAGTATCTCACCATGAGTGGGTCAGAAGTCTAGGAATAGAATAGCTCAGCTGGATCCTCTGCTAAGGGCCTCACAAGGCAGGAATCAGGGCATCAGCTTGGCTCTTATCTGGGGTTCTGGGGAAGATTCTGCTTCCAAACCCATTACAGTGTTGATAGAATTCAGTTCCTTGTGATTGTAGGAACTCATTTTCCTGTTTCTTTGACATATGATTCCCTTAGTCTCTAAGTCAAGGAGGACAGTTCTAATCTTTCTTAGGCTTCAAATATCTGACTTCTCTTTTACCATCAGGCAGAAAATGAGCTCTGCTTTCCAGAGCTTATATGAGTAGGTTAGGTCCACGTAGACAATCCCGAGAAGCTCCCTATTTTAAAATCAGCTGATTAGCAACCTAAATTACATCTTCAAAGACCTTTTGACATACTCATAGGAGTAACCCCAGGAATGAAGACCATGAAGGCTAACATTTTGCCTAACAGATTCTATATCACTGCAAGTCTTCCTTGGACTCCATTGTTAGCCCATCTCTATCTGTGCTAAGGTTTTCAACCCTGACTGCTTATTATGATTATCTGGAGAGTAATTAAAAAAATGGATGCCCAGTCCTCGAGATCAACTAAAGCAGAATCTTTTGGGTGGGGCTGCCTCAGTGGTTTTCAAAAACTCTCCAGGTGATCCTAATGGTAGCCTAAACTGAGAACCATTGATCATCACTGTTTCCCTGAATCAGCTTATCAATTGATGGACATGATTTTAATCATCATCTCTGTAATAATAATTCTCCAGTCTGCATCTCTATCTCTGACCTCTCTTGCTATATTCCAGACTCAAATTTCCAAAATGCCTACTGATGAGGAAATCAGTCCTTCCATGGTCATTAGATAGATCTTCGTGTCATATGTTCTAAAAATTTAAATCACAGCTAAAAAAATCTTTAATATTTTACTCTCCTAGGAAACTACTGCAACTCCTTTATATAAACAAAATATTTATTATTTATATGTGACCACTTTTGAATGTTTGCTAAAAGTCTTTTCAAAAAGACTTTTGAACTTTGTTCACCCATAGCAAAATCCTTTTCCCCTTCCTTGTTGAGTTGTCACTTGTTTTCCTATTTCCCACCTAAATATGGGTCACTAGGCCTTTCCTGCCTCTGGCCACAAAGCAATTCTCAGAGAAGTTTTAGGATATACTTTTGTATATTAAAAAAAAATGTAAGTGTGATGTTCTAAGGGACTAGGATATGCTAGTCCCCAGGTATGGCTATGAATACCCCATTCCTTCCTTGCTATAATGCCAGCCTTATGAACAATAATAATTTCATTTTAATCCTGAATATGTGTTTTCCACCATAACAACCTAGAACAATTCAATATAGATGTCCTGTAATGGTTTCAAATTTGACATATCCAAAACAAATTCACCAACTAATGATGGATTGCTCAATTGTCAATGCAGCCTTAATGACTAAAAGTTTTCGCCAGAGTGTAACCTTGCACAGAGCTCTCAGCTGAGCCAAATGTTATTTGGAAAAACATATATATACACATATATATATACACACACACATATATACACATATAATATACCTGTGTATATATATGTGTTTGTGTGTATATATATATGAACTACAAATATGTATATTTGGAAAGTACTTACTCTGTAGCCAAAAATAATGAGTCTCCTAGAAGGAAGCCAAGAAAAGGCAAGATAGAATATGGCGCATTGGTCTATGTAGTTCTTTAGTCTACAATTCAATAAAATCATCCCATTTAAAATTAATCTGCTTTTTATTTTTGGCACCACCTGTGGTAGAAAGATAATGTCTATATGATTCCTCATGCACATATCAGACTTTCATTTTTAGCTTTTGATTATGCTTAAAACATAAACTTCTTACCACAACCACAAGGCTCTGCAAAGATAGGGTCCCTGCCTACCTCTGCAACTGTATTTAGAGCCATTATCACCCTAACTCTCTGTCCTAACTATACGAACCTTCAGTTCCCCAAACATGCTAACTTCTCTCTCTACCTCAGAGCTTTCACCTAGGCTGCTCTTTCTGCCTGTATTCCTTATGCTGCTTTCTCTTTGTCCTGTTAACATAGTATCCCTCAGGTCCTTGCTTAAATAACTATTTTTTCTTCAAAGAAGTTTTCATTGGCTCCCTCTACTCATAAAATCAAGTTAAGAGTATCACATTGCTTTTCAAATAGACTCTATTGTCTTGACCCTTATAGCACTAGTCACAGTTTTAATTATTATAATTATTATTTTATTGTGTGTTCTATGCACCACTAGATTATAATCAGTAAACTGTCAGGAACCATTTTGTTTTCCTCTGTGTATAGTGCCTTACACAATTTCTAGTATTAGGTACTCTACTTGTTGACTGAATAAATACATGAATGGAAGAACACACTTCTTAAAACATTTTTTGACTATCGAAGGTCATGTAGCTTGATAGCGTATCATTCTTTTTGTGCTCATGTCTACTTTCTGATAATGCAGGGAGAAAATCTTAGTCATAGTACAGTGTACCTTTTGACCTAAATACCATAAAATGTTATTATCCAATCTATATAAATACAATATTCTAGGGATAGATACTCTTCTGGTCAGTACCAGATTACATATTTCCATCTTTTCTGTTTTGTAACTAACACTTCTGTAAAGTGTTGGTCATAGTCACCTGATCAGAACTGTGGGAACTCTTGTGGAAAAAAATCTATTATATACTAATCTATGATTCCTTTTCCTCATCTCCCACTTGTTCTTATTCCAAAGAGTACACATAACCTTCAAATCTGCTCTTAATTCTTTCAAGAGCAGTGATAGATACTTCCTGATGACAGTGATTTCTTGAAATCCAGTATTAAAATATCATTTCCTCTATGGAGAACATTGTACTCGTTCTATCAAAATTGGAGAAGCGCATTCCCTAGAACCAAACAACTCCCCTGAGGAATACTGTAATGTCTTAACCAATTATTTTCATTGGTGTTATTAAACTTACCTGTTGCTGATGTCCTAATGCATGTCTCATAAGAATTCTGGAATTGCCTATGTGGGAATTCAATCTGCAGTCTGTTTCTACAAAAAATTAAAATTAAAAATTAAAAATGGCCTAGCCTTATCCTTATCCTTGCCCTCTCTATCAGTTCATGTTTGCTAATGTTGACAGTAAATTAGTCAGGCTGGGTTCACTGCAAGAGGATTCCATTCCTACCATCTCCAAGAGAGAAAAGTCTTAAGTAGAGGTCATAAAGAATTTACTAGATTCAAAGTTTTTTATTAATCCTAAACTGGATATTAATAGTAATAATCCATCTATGAATACCAGAGTTTTTAACTCCAAGAGACAAAAAATGGTTTTATTTCAACTACAGAATTTATAGCCCTTCCATAAATCAGCATTACTATTCTACACATTTGAGAATGGAGATCCAACTCTATTGTGACTGTCCTAGTTGTAGGAAACCAACAGCAAATATCGTGGACTCATGAGTCCTCAACAGAGCCATATGTAACTTTTACTTCCATCAATGTTCTGCCTTCTTCCCAGGACACAGGATTTTGTAACAAGTTAAACCCCATGCACAGTGGAATTCACAACTATCCTCATTATTTCCTGCTCTCAGACCTCCAGGAATGTGTCCCAACACATGTGGACCCTGTACTCGGACATGTTATGCTGTCAATAGTAGAAAAAAGGAATGGAAGAGTCAGCCAGAACCAGCAAAATTGGGGCTAAGGAAATTAACTTGGCAGTCGGTCTGGTCTTCAAAGAGGAGTATAAATAGTCCAGACTTATGCTGATATTCAGGGGATTCTACCTAAGAAAGCAGAGCACTATAGGAAGAGTCTCTGGATAGTAGCTATACTTCTTACTGGGCACACTTTTGTCTGCAATTAAGTTAGTCCAGTTTGAAAGTGGCCCAAAAGAAAGCTCAGTCCCCAGAGAAAGCAGATTTACAGAAAAAAAGAAAGAGGATTAGAGTATTAGGTCAATGATGAGGAGGTTAAATCAAGGCTATGGTCAGAGCAGGAAGTTAGATTGCACACCAGACAGGAAGCAGAAACCATGCACGTGGACTAGTTACATAAGTTGAATATTGCTGGGCAGATTGCCCCTTACTGCAGAAGCAGGTGGCAAAGGGCTTTGCCCAGGACACTAAAATCCAGCGTGGAGGCCACAGACCATTTCCAGACTCTATTCACTTACAAATTTGAACAATTAAACTACTGACAAGTTTGGTTTCCACTGGTTCAGGGAGTTGCAGAATTTAACCTATAGGAGAAAGGTTGTTGGTGCTGGTGTTTGGATAAGACTGGGAAAAAACAAGAACTAAGTAACATATATCTGTAAGAAAATGAGGGCTAAAGAACTAGGAGACACTTGAATGGCTTTAGAATAGGAATAATCATAGACACTGTTCCATAGAAAGTGGAATACCTTCTTTCTGTGGCACAGGTATGTTGAGTGATCTTTTAAATCTCTACTTATTGTTTATTCCTTTGTCCTTGTGAGCACAGTCATATCATTATTTTTAGTCATAAGATTTCCAAGCCACAATTATCTTATACAAAGCTTTTGTGAATATTTTGTGCCATTTTCTTTCTGGGAGAGCAGGCTTAAGAATGAATACCAATCAATTTATTTGGTTAATCGATATATTGCAAGATATCTACTTTATTTTCTTCCTAAAGCTACAGAAACTATCTATAGCAACTCTCTACAGTAACAGCAACATATCACCTGCTTTGCTGCCTACCTTAGCATCTCTCTACTACTCCCAGCTAGGGTCATTTGAAGGCCATTTACATGCTATATTCTTCTGGTTGGGAAAAATGAGAAGCTTAGATGACAGCCATTTTACCCAATCTACCTTACTGCTAGCCTTGCTCTAAGTTTATTGGAACAAGCCTTGAACTTCAAAATTAAAGGTAATATCACATATGGGTGATCAGTGATATAAATGGTTAGTAGTATAAACAGTTAGTAGTAAAAACCTAGGTCTCGTCTCCTGTGACCAATCCCCACTTCCTGCCAGAGTCCCAGTGACTGGGTCTGTCTATTTACTGTTGCCTAATTGATTGCACATTCTTCATTCAATCATTTAAGAACTATTAATCGACATCTATTTTGTGACAGGCATTATTCTAGGTAGGAGGAATACAACAGTAAGTAACAGACAAAAATCTCTGCCCTTAGGACTTTCATTCCAGTTGAAGAGGGAGGCCAGCATAGCTGGAGCAGGGAGTGCCAGGGGGAGAGCAGCATAAGACGGTATATTTCTTTACAAGAAGTAAAGAGGTTTAGTAAAGCAATGATTACGTAAGCTCTGCAAACCATGGTAGGGAGTTTGGATTGTATTTTCAGTGGGGTAAGAAGCTACTCAACAGCTTTGAGCATAAAAGTAATATGATCTTGTTTACATTTTAAAAGAATTTCTTAGGCTGCCATGTGGAAAAGCTAGAGTGGGAGCGAAAAGCAGAACTAGAAGGCTTTTGTAGTTGTGTAAGGTAGACATGAATATAGTTTAGACTAGGACAAGCAGTTGAGATGGCAAGTGGTTGGTTTTTGCTAGATGTTTACAGCAGAACTGATAGAACTTGCTAATGGATTGAACTTAGGGAGGGGAAAATAGAAATCAAGCATGATTCTTAGGTTTTTACTTGAGCAACTGTGTAAAAAGAGTGTCATTTGCTATGGAAACATCAACTTTGGAAGGTTCAATTTTGGATTTGGGATATGTTAAGTCTGAGATGACTATTAGATATTCAAACAGAAGTATCAAATTGGAAGTTGGATAGAGCCAGGAAGATGAGGAAGAAGATCATGCTGGAGAAAGGCATTTGTGAGTCACCAGTGGATTTGTGTAAGCTTTTAAGGAAATAGATTTATGTGCTATGTTCTGAGGAAAGAAGAATTTATTCCCTTGTGATGCAACTATAGTATATTTCTTTGCCAGGTAAGTCCCAAAATATACCCTGTATAGGTTATATTATGCTGACTGCAAGCAACAGAAACCATGTCTGAATAACTCAGGTAAAAAAAAAAAAGGAAAAAAGAAAAATAACATTTATTAAAAGTAATCTTTCAGTTCTCACACTGAATGAAATAAAAAGTTGAAAACCTCAACTCAGGAAAGGTAGCAACCAAGGCCTCACCAGAGACTTCAGTGGTAAGAGTTTGAGAAACTGACATTAATAACATTCAGTTCCAATGACTTCAAGGCTCCCCAAGTCATGATGATGCCCTAAAAAACCAGGTGAAGCATGGACTGTCCCTCATCTATTAAGCAAAGGAGTAGAAATAAATCCTTGCTGCTCAACGTGTGGTCCTTGGGTGGACCAATAGCTTGTTTGGAATGCAGAATCTCAGATTGTACACTCTGGACCATCAATCAGAATTTTCATTTTAACAAGATCCCCAAGTGATTTATATGCACATTAAAGTTTGAGAAACATGGCCAGGTGCAGTGGCTCACACCTGTAATCCCAGTACTTTGGGAAACTGAAGCAAAAGGATCAATTGACCCCAGGAATTCAAAACCCCAGGAATTCACCAGCCTGGGCAACATGGCAAGACCCAGTCTCTATAAAATAATTGAAATATTAGCCAGGCTTGGTGGTTTATGCCTGTGGTCCCAGATAGGAGACTGAGGCAGGAGGATTGCTTAAGCCCAGGTGGTGGAGGCTGCCAACAAGCCAAGATTGTGCCACTGCACTCCAACCCGAGTGACAGAAAGGGCAAGACCCTGTCTCAAAAATAAACAAATATATTGAAAAAAAAGCTTGAGATATTCATAACTAAATGGTTTTCCAGCCAAAAAAAACACTCTGATTATCTGAATTGAGCAGATATTTTCATGCCTCAATAAATCAACTACAAATACGGAAGGCTGTTCGGATTTCTTCCCATAAACTTTATTTAAATCAGAATTATAAGCAGTTTTTAAATCAAATGATCACAAAATGTTAAATTGTTTAGTGTATACTTTGGTTATAACAATATACTATGGCAACATATAGATTTCTTGCACCTCTGATGACCTGTTTTTCAAGAAAGTTCAGAGTTGCTTTTGCAGCATACCTACTCTGGTGACTGACAGATTTATTGTAATTCATTTAGTCACTTAAGATTCATAGATTTGATAGTCTGATTATGTCAAATTGCTCTAAAGTAGTCTTTGATTTATACTACATAGCTGCTTTCATTGATCAGAATTCTACATTTGCAGCGCTCTCTTTTTCATATTCTTTTCCTCACTTTTATGGCCAGGTTCTTGGGAATTCACACTATCTACCCAATACTATAAAATTATAAGTATGAGAGAACATCTATAAATATTAATGCCATTGTTTGAGGAAAAGGAGTGCCAATTTTTATTTGATGGAAGTAAACACTGGCAGCTCATTAAAATTTTGGCTCAGAATTGTGGTCCAGAAAACCAATCGGTCTTGAAATGGAATGTAGACCCGCCTATGAACTCATAATCCCCCTACATAATTTCCATGATTTCTTAAATAAGCTTGTCTAAAGAATCCTAGAAATATATCCAGTAGATGTGCTTTAAGGGAAATCTGTCAAATTCTTAAAGTAGATTAGCTATTATAATTACCCATTAACATCATTTCGTGAAACGTAGCCCTTAAACCTCTTCTATTAGAATCACCTTGGAAGCTTATTAAAATATAGATTCTATGCCCATTCCAGCCTACCAAATTCGAGCCTCAGGGGGTGAGGTCCAGGAATCTGCATTTAAAAATAGTTCTTTAGGTAAGTCTTATACACATTAAAGTTATAGAATCACTGTACTAAACATTACATTTTCAAGTTTAGTTTTCCACTGACATTAGCATCAATTTCCAACGACTGAGCAAAGCGTTCACCTTTATTGTTTCACGTTGTATTTACTCAGACTCTCTGAGCTTCACATGGGAATGACATTTTGACAAGTACATGGCTTAATTTTTTTTCTATTTTTCCAAAGGCTTTAAACAAATATTGTTTCTTGACAACTCATTAAGACAATATGTACCAAGGCATAACATTTCCAGAACACCTAAGAAAATTGCCTTGGTCA